TTTTAAGCTCTAATTAGAAAACAAGAAGTTGTCATGATGGCAAACGTGACCTATTAAACCTAAAATGTTTTTTGAACCAGGCTGTAAACACGTTTATTTCTCCAGTGAAGTTGGTTACTTTCATCATGGAAGTCAATGGGAGCGTTCTCCTCTCTAGAGTCAGCCCCTAGTGGATGAGGGGAGAACTGTCAATTCTTTGGCTTCCTTTAGGAATTCACCCCTTGGTTCCAATCCTGAGCTTTCTGATATCACATTCTAGAGAGACCGATATAAACTAAAATAAAAATGATCTGTATCAGTTTCTACTTTTATTATCACCACTTTTAAACGCCATGCATATATTATACATCAGGCTCTTCCGCTACTTCTCCTGTCACTCAGTTTCAAACTAAAATTAGATATATTTTAGTTTTTTATAGTGCAACTTGTGCACAAGTAGAAATCTACCCCGTTTACTTAGTCAGGATTATCTTAGGGACCGTGTGACTCAGCTGCTGTTGAAGGCAGATTAAACATGGCACGTTTCCTACGGTTTAACTTAAAGTAGATTTTCATGACAGGAGATCAAATGTGATGCTAGTTACCTAAAATCATTTAGTTTACTTGAGTTTTTTTTTTTTTTTTTTTTGGAGGAAAGTACCCACGGATTTTGGTATCGGACGTTAAAAGTTTCAAGATAGTAAAGCAAAGAGAGTGGAAAGCAGAGCCTGATGGCAGCGACCATGTTCATTCCTGGACTGTGAAGGATTTTTGTGGGAACCGGCTTAACCTCGACCAAATCTACCATCGCCATCGCTCATTCTCACTGCTTTATGTGGGTAGTTATTGTTTATGTACCGTTATCAAGGTGAACTGCTCTAATTATTGTGACAATGATCTGAGGGTTTACTGCCCACCTTAATTAGGGGTGCAGTCCCCCCCCCCCCCCTCCCCTCCCACTGGTTTACACAAAGTGGGCAAGCCTTAAGGCTGGTTCTGGAACCGGCCACTAGGGGGATGGCTGTTTATGCGGCAGCTTCCGAGTTTGAGTCCAGGGTCTAGGTTGCATGTTTATACGTCACTGATAAAGTTGACTTACTGGGACACTTTGGAATGTAAACGTATGGAGAGAACGATCTATTTGTACAGGTTTAAAGCTGCTCAAGGGTCATATTTCATGAAGTTTGTCCCTTTCTGTTTTTTGTCACACTGAAGTCATATCATTAAAAAACTATTTATTTCAAAGTTGGACTTGTAATAAATAGTGAGTAATTGATTTAAAATGATTAATACCTTACAGCAGGGAACTGTAAAACGGTGAACCTCAACTGGCGGCCCTTGGCCCACATGCGACCCACCAGATCTTTCCACCTGGCTCCCCAACCCTTTGGGCCTTAACATCAGCAAACAACAGAAAATTTCATGTCCCAAATATCAATTATTGTTTTTTGTTTTCTGAACACAACTAAAACTACAGTCAACACTGTTTAGATGGAAAACAAAGCCATTATTAATATTAATAAGTTAACTGATTAACTGCCAGTGACGACAAAAGTCGTCATTTAAAATCCAACCGTTCACTGCGAATGACAACTAAAGTCGACATTGGCATTGTTTTCACTGTGTGGGTGTCGGACGAGCCCCCGCACCGTGAGAACAAACATCTCAGCCCTAAGGCCGATCTTCATACGCGTACGTCACACTTCACGTGATCAGGAAGCAGAAAATCCGCGTGTTAGGAGATCGTTTTGGGCCGAAGCTGTAAAAATAAGTGAGGCGTGAACCGGAAAAGCTTCTGCTGATCACAATTCAACAACGGATTACGAAAGAACGGATAACGCTCGAAACGCGCGGATTCTTCCTGATGTAAGAGGCGAGTCTCCGCTTTGTTTTGGTTGTTTTGACGTCGACATCATCCTAGAGCACAACGTTCTGTGACTCTTAAAAAAAACAGTGAAAGTGCTGGCAGCAAAGGGCTTTTCTGATCAGGAAATGGCTGGCAGTGAGTGAGTTAAACGTCTGGCCCTCACAGTGTCTACTGGGAAAAGCTCTGGTCCGTCAGCAAATTTAGTTCAGGACCCCTGCTGTAAAAGTCACACTGGATTATTCAACACAAAAATGAAAAATTAAGAAATATATAGCCTCGTTTTGTTGCAGACATTCCTCAAGATTTAAACTAGAAAACCACTAAAACCATTTTCTCGTGTCAACTTGAAACGTTTGTCAGATTCATGTTACCTTTAGGCAAAGTTCAGAGGAGTCTTTTCACTTCATCGTGTATCATCGTTAAAGTTTTCTCCCAGGAAATAGACATGGCCCTAACTGAAGCAGAGTGTGATGTGCACAAGGAAGGACAGACTCTCTCCAAATGGTTGCCATGGTGAGGGTCTCCACTTGGATGTGCTTCCCTCCCTGCAGGGGCACGTCTCTGTAAGTGGCACTAATAGGCAGCACATTTGACAATGTCATAGAAACATGGCGCTCAAGATGGATGCAGCTAATGAGGGTCTCCCGTCCTTATCCAACCCCACATGTCAATCGCTGCAGTTATTATTTATTGCTTCCACCTACTCTTGTTCTCTCCCTCCTTCACACACACACACACACACACACACACACACACACACACACACACACACACACACAAAAAAGGAAGCACACGTCCAGCAG